AGCTGGTGTTTTAACCTCCCATCGAGAGCCCCCAGCCCCCTTTTAGATGTACCCTCAATTTCTATATCGGTATTTCCCTTCCCCTTGTGCACCTCAGCTTCCCCCTGAGCAACTGCAACTGCCCCGGTCTGACCCTAGAGGGGCCCCGGAAATTTCCAGTCAATCCTTCTATCCTCAGAATTCTCCTGTCTATAGATGGGTTCTCCTCCACGGGCCCTCCAGGAAAAACTTAATATCTCCTGTAGGGGGTAAAACTCCTTGGACACCGGGCTTCCACCCCACAGGGCTGCTCAACTCCCGGGCCCGTTTTCGGGGGAGCATCCGAAGCCCCTGGTAGCGTCAATAATTCTCTTCCACGCCCTCCATTCGTCCGCCCAATTCCTTTTCCTGTGCATCAAAGTCTTCGGCAGAGGTGCCGCCTGAGGCTCTGTGAATTGCCGTTCCCAAAGGCCCCGGGGCTGCTGCTTTTCCACTCCGCCCCCATGTGGTCAAAAGCGCCCCACAGGCGACACGTTTTTGTCCCGTAGGTCAATACATCTGTGTCCCCAAAACCTCCAGGGCAAAATACGATGGAAAAAGGTTCTTTAAAGACATCTTGACGGTTTAAGATCCACCGGCAATCCTTCATAGGGTTCCCTCCGTCCATCGAACTAAAGTTATGCATTTCACCCCCACCATATTTTGAAAAGTCCTCTGTATCCACATGTCTGCCCAAAGGGAAAGTTGCGGATCCTCACCCCGGTGTAGTATTTTGAGGCATCCCGCAGGCGTACCTCAGCCAGTGAAACGTGATGTTTTTTCTCCCGGTACTGGGGTCCCGTCCTTTCATATGCCCCCCAGTGCAGAACTTTATGAAAATTCGAGATGGCCATTAAATGTATTCCGTGAATTCTTCAATTCAATGCCACGTGTCCCCTATAAAAGTTGGTAATAAAAAGAGGGATTTGTAGGGTGATTGCCCCCTTTAAAAAGGTCAACACACGGTGTTTTCCTCCTCGGTGCTGGCAGTCTCTTTGGTGAAAACAGGAAGTTTTCGCACCAGAGAAACAGGAGCTGTTTTCACAGTGCGTCCCCTCAGCCGAAAGCGAAAAAGGACAATGACAGCTGAATTTATCTACAAATTGGGAGTGTAAGGGGGTTTTTTGGTCGGGGTTATTAATCGATGAAAGGGGAAGGTGAGATGGGGGAGAAAAAAGCAACAGCAATTGGTGTTGGTCCCAAAAAGGGGAAGGGGGGACACACCCCCAAGGAGTACTGTGCCATATCGCTGCTATGTGAGATTTATAATGTTTGTAAAGTTTAATTAAACGGTTTTAAAATTTTTTAGGGGGAGGGTTTCAAAAACGCAGTTTGGGGTTTGCCTGGGAAAGGGCGTGATTTAAGGGCAGGGATACTGAGAAGTTTTGTGGGGGGCGGCCTGTTGGGTTTTTGATTGGCGGGGGCCCTTTACAGAGTTTGGAAAGGGGGGGCGTTTAGGGGATATCAGGAGGGAGGGTTATGGGGGGGAAATAGTTAATTGGGTAACCACTTTGTACAAAGGAGCCAAGATGCGGGTACAGATAAATGAATGTTTGGGGGAGGAAATTGCAATGGGTAGGGGACTTAGGCAGGGGTGTCCCATGTACAAATATTGTTTGCATGCATTCAGGATCCTTTCTATAGAATGGTTGAACGTAGTGTATGTAATAAGAGTGGGGGTTGTCATGTGGTTGACATGCCACGTATGCACGTGGAGCTTGAGAGCTAGTCATGGCCATCGTCATATACTAAGTGTGATTGGTGTTATGAATGTAGGTGTAAGATCTTACAGGAGTATTTGGGTTTATGAAGCCTGTGTGTACACAGCCTTGTGTGACATGTTTCATGTGCGATATGTTTATCGCGTTTTGAGGTGTTAATTTGTTGTTATTCACGAAGTGTGTTATGGCTGTTTATGTTAGGATATACTCCTTTATTGTTTGTTTGGTATACTGTGCATTTCTTTCATGCATTGCCCTGACAAAGAGAGCTTGTAATTGATTGTACTGTATTTTCTTTTTGTATTATATAATGTGCCCATCTTGTAGATGAGGGAGGAATGTCTATGACTTTCATTATTTTGTAATGACTCGATAGGATAGTGAGCCACGTATGTAAGTTTTAAAGAATTCTCCCTATTGGGGATTAGTTGGGGAAGAGTATGTACTTGTTGTAATGAGACTATGATGTAGGTCATTTCGTTTATTGACTAATGTGAAGGTTGTGATTAATTGATATATTTTCTCATTCATATTTTTTCTATTGTATTGAACCTTTGTCATATGTCACAGTAATTATGTAACTATATATACCTGAATGGCTTGGATTCAATAGATGTTTATATAATGCATTATTTGTCCCTGGTACTGAGGTCACCTGTAAGTTATGTCCTTGTTAGGTTTCTTGTGAAATAGGGTTTAGATTAACCTTTCTTCTTAATGTTACGTCTGTTATGCGATATGTTTATCGCGATTTGGGGTGTTAATTGTTGTTATTTATGAAATGTGTTATAGCTGTTCATGTTAGGATATACTCCTTTATTGTTTGGTATACTGTGCTTTTCTTTCACGCATTGACCTGACAAAGGGAGTATGTTTCTTTTGACATTATATAATGCGCTCATCCTGTTTTGCAATGACTCGATAAAGTTTTGTAGTGAGGCACGTATGTATTGTTTTAGGCAATTTCCTGTATCGTGGGTTAGTTGGGGAAGAGTATGTATTTGTTTTAATGAGATTATGATGTAGGTTATTTCGTTTATTGACTAATATGAAGGTTGTGATTAATTTATATATTTTCTCGTGAATATTCTTTTTATTGTATTCAGCCTTTGTCATATGTCACGTTAATATTATGTAAACTATATATCTCTGAAAGGATTTCGATTCAGTGGATGTTTTTATAATTCATTATCTGACCCTGTTACTGAGGTCATCTGTAAATTATGTCCTCGCTAAGGTTTCTTGTGAAATAGGGCTCAGATTACCCATTCTTCTTAATGTTACGTCTGTTATATAGCAATATTTGCGAGTGTATATGCGCAACCCCTTTATGTCAGTTAATTTGTGTCGTGTTTATATATTTATATATATTTATATATATTTATATGCAATAAGATCACAGTAAACAGGTGATTTCAAAATATGCAAAACAACCACTCTGAAAGAATAGAGAAATTCCAATGGTTGTTTTGCATATTTATATATATTTAAGGAGTTTTTATGTTAAGCTGTAATGTTTTTAAATAAATCTAAAAAAATGTCATAAGCTAAGTCAAATAATTATATAAAGCAAGATATTTTCAATTTAGCTAATATTGAAAATATCAGCAATATAAAATTATATGAAAAGGTAAAATACATTATAAAAGAAATATGTACATTATATACATTGGGTCCCATTCAGGGAGCGTAATAATCCCACACCAGAATGGCTTTGACGTGCTCTAGCTGAAGCGCCCGAGAGCTATAGGTCTTGTCCTTCCATGACTGATAATTTATTTTCCTGAGCCACCAGTATTTTGCATCTATTTTTGGACTGCGTACATCAAGTCTTATTTTCACTGTTCCTCATCATGTCAAAACCAGCAGAAATTGTTTTACATGTGTGCAAGCTATATGTCTCTATTTTATTTTAGGATTCGGGCTACTTCGTGATGCCAGTGATACAGTTTTAACCATGGCCAAACATCACGAATGTTTTCTCTATTATTTTCAAAATTGTGAGTGCAGGAACATTACGTTAGAAAACACAAATTTTCATGTTTCCCGAAAAAGAGTATGAGGGCAATCCTGGTCAAATACCATAGCATGTTATGGGTTAATAAATAGTCATTGACTATTTCTATGAACATCGTTATTATAAATATATTTTTCAACATAAAATTATATTTTGATAATTCCACCTTTATCTTAGCTGCAGTGGAACAAGATTTATGACCATTTAAATTTTTTCTTGAAAGTTTGTCATCCATATATGAAATAAAAATTACAGGTTGAATCAAAAGAGTATAATTTAATTTCACGTCTCTGAAAACATTTAGGAAGCAAGAGCAACACCCAAGCACTTACAACAAAAGTAATAACCATTTACATTTTAGTTCAGACATTTTTGTGTCCATCTTGAGTATTTGAAATTGTCCAATGTTGAGAACTTAACTGGATATTCTAATGCAACAATTATCAACGTAGAAATTTTTGGTTATTGGAAAAAATCTATTTTCAGTCCAGGATTATCAAGATGTCATAGTAGATAAATACTGAAACTGGATATTTAAAAATGTTGAATTTGCATATTAAATTTTATTTAGTTTATATACTTAAATGAATATAACTTTTTCTTACTGTTATTCATTGAGAAAAAACTTTAAATATAATTCGAACACAAACTGAGAGTAAATACATCATCGACACCATGCCTAACCCTTCTAGGGTAGGGTAGGTGCCTGAGTCCGAGCCTTTAGCTCATAAGACTGTCATTCCCATTAGCCCCCTTGGGGCGGGGATGGCAGACCAGAGAGGCCTAGCTTGTGGCTAGGCCTGGGGACAGTTGGTCCCAAAGATGAGGAGGTACTTGTGTCTCCTCCCATGGGAGACTTAGGTCTCAGACACTCCCTAAAGAGGGAGTCAAGGCCGGGCCACCACTTGGAAAAGGCCCGGGCCGGGAGAATACCGGCGAATATTTAATAATAATGAGAGTAAATATAATGTATTTTTCTTTTTTTGCAGAATGAGATTCTTATGGAATGAGAAATTAGGTGAGAGATTTTATTGATGAAAGTCATGATATATTCTGATACTATCTATTGTTATTAACAAAAGAAGTATTAGGATGGATCAAGATGCATAGGAAGAAAAACTACATCATTTCTATTTATCGCAATAATTATAGAAACTGGTTTTGGGTTTTCTAGATTACTAGAGGTTATCTTACCTACTTAGGTTATTTTAGGTGTGAAAACTGGGATAAAAATACATGAAAAATTCTATTGTGGTTCTGGAGACTTTACAAAATATATATTACAGTTACATTAATTGATAATTGAGATACATAACAAAAAAGGCATAATTCCGTGACTGGAACAATGCACAGATAACCTGCTTCGTAAATGGTCCAAGTCGGACTGAAACGTCGTCGTAAGCTCCTCTCATCTATGTGCGGGTTATTTGTGTATAAATGGGATAACTTCTATTGAAAAAAATATTAAGGTTGCGAGAGATAACCAGCATCTTTCAGGAAGAAGGTTGATAATGCTATCAACACATAGTGTACTTTGAACATTTGTGCATATGCTCTGCTGGTGGATTATGGTTTAATTAAGAGTTTCCTGGATAAAACGCTGGCGATCTTTGCGATCTTTTTATTGCAAGAAACTTTTACCAGAACAACTGTTTCTATTGAACAGCCAAATCTCTTGCCAGGAAAATTCGTGTCTATCCAACATAGCAAAACATCATAGTTCAGAGGAGCAGATCTACTAGCCCTTTCTAGAGGTTTTTCTAAAATTCAACACTTCTCAAGACATATTTGTCCCACCTGTTTTTAGTCATCTTAAGGTAATAGGTTCAACATTCCTCACTTGACATTTAATATCAATATTCTCTATATATATAAGTTCACCATTCCTTTCACTAGGTTGATCTGTTTGTAATTTGATAAAGCCAATTGTGCGAGTGCAACGTTATCAATAATGGATCATATTATAATGTACCTGTATCTATGTTGTACAGGGTTCCTTTAATATCTATTTTATTTCTTTAAATAACATATTTTAACTAATGCTCAGCTGGGTTTATAGCACTATATGATACTACAGATTTTCAGAGAATTACTTTGGTTCTTCAGATGACCCATTACTCCACTCTAATAACCACAGGAAATTTAAAGTAAATGTTCTGTAACAAAAATTTAAATTCATATCTAGATTATTATCTTTGTTTATTAGCCAGAACCATGTCAAGCAATTCATTTTTTCTCGGTGGATTAGTTATTAACTACTTTCAACCATTTATTGGCCACTAATAAATCGTAAATTCCAGATTTTAAGTCACGTAAGTGAAATTGACAGCAAAGATAAATGCATTTTTATCTTGAAGCATTTGAAATTTTGTCCTCGATAAATTTACATCAAAGTTGTTAACGTCTGGGGAATGAAACACACATCTAAGGCAAATTTTTAATTTCCTTAAAAAAAAATATGATAGTATAATTCATTTTATTTTTCTTCAACTTTTTACGTTCATTAACTTAGCAATTTAAATTTCCTCTCTGATATATCAAATCGATCTTAACTTTTGTTGTCGTTAAGGAAATACGTATGCTTTTGTTTACGGCATTAAGAAGTCATAGTAGCACATCTTTTATTAACTAACACCTCAGTTATTGCAAAATACTTGTGTTATGCACATTCAAACAGTTATATTGTTTCTTGCACTTGATCATTTTTTTTTAATTTATTCTTATGTTTCAGTCTCTTTTATTTTATTTCTCCTCTGCTTCCCTTATTCGTTAAAATGATATTATATACTGCAGAGAGACACATGATAAAGTTGACCCTCACCTATTAGGTCTACTGTAGTCTACTTAATTTCTTTTATTTTTTTTTTTAGTTTTTTTTTTATCTTTTCATATTGTATAAGAAGTCCTATTAAATGAAAATATATTTTAAGTACTATAAATCTGTTACAATTCAATAAATTCTTTTAGAGAATATGCCCATTACACTGTAGAATTGGCTGAATGATATTGACAGACGAACCTCCGAGATGAGGTACAGGAGCCAACACTCAGGGGTGGGTGCATCTCTGTCCTCATTTCCAGGCAATGTACGTTTTTAGGAAAGTCTTCTAGTAGTCCAGGGGACCAGTGGTTTTCGTCTACTGGTCTTCCGTCCAACCACATCCATTTCCCATTTCCTGTATTATTTCCGCCCACGAACACATTCAAAGAACCTGAATATGTTTTTCATATTAGTAATGCAAAGTAAAACGTTGATAACAAGAAATTTAAACTTATTTTGAATTTCAGAGCCAATAAAGCTATTGAGTTATGATTTGCATCGTACAACATGGGTCTTCCTCCACGTGCATGTAGGGGCACATATCTTTGTGTGTGTATATATATATATATATATATATATATATATATATATATATATATATATATATATATATATATATGTCGTGCCGAATATGTAAAACTGGTCAGTTAGCAAGAACTCATTTAAAATTAAGTCCTTTCTGAAATTTTCTCTTATACGTATAAAGATATATTTTTTCATTAATGTTAATGTAAAAAATTATAATTTTGCACCAAAAGACTCTTAGAAAACTTACCTAACCTTATTATAACAAGAACAATTTATTTTAGCCTAACCCAACTAAATATATTTTAGATTTGTTTACAATAATTTAATACTAAACAAACACAGTAAAATATATTTTTTTTCGTTAGGTTCAGAATGATTTTGGCGAAATTATTGCATACACAAATTTTCACTTGTCCTATATGGCAAGATGAGCGTTGCTATTTAAGCCAAGATCGCAAGTTCTGCCTATTCGGCACGACATATATATATATATATATATATATATATATATATTATATATATTATATATATATATATATATATATATATATATATATATATATATATATCCAATAAAATCACAGTAAACAGGTGATATCACAAAATGCAAAGCAAACACTATGAAAAAATAGCGAAATTAAAAGCGCTTTCGTGACTTCTCACTTTATCAAAGAACTAAAAACAGAGAAGAAGAAAAACTTTATAAAACTGGGATGCTTGAATGTGCGTGGATGTAGTGTGGTTGATAAGAAAGAGATGATTGCTGATGTTGTGAATGAAAAGAAGTTGGATGTCGTGGCCCAAAGCAAAGCAAAGCAAAGCTGAAGGGGGTAGGGGAGTTTCGGTGGGGAGATATAAATGGGAGAATGTCAAGAGTATCTGAGAGAGTTAGAGTTTAGGAAGGGGTAGGAATAATGTTGAAGGATCAGTTATGGAAGGAAAAGAGGGAACATAAATGTGTAAATTCAAGGATTATGTGGATTAAAATAAGGTTTGGATGCGAAAAGTGGGATATAATAAGCGTTTATGCACCTGGAGAAGAGAGGAGTGTAGAGGAGAGAGAGAAAGATTTTGGGAATGTATAGGAACCTTTGAACCAAGTGAAAGAGTAATTGTGGTAGAGGACCTAAATGCTAAAGAAGGAAAAACATTTAGAGAGAGTGTGGTAGGTAAATTTGGGATGCCAGGCGTAAATGATAATGGGACCCCTTTGAACTTTGTATAGAAAGAGGTTTAGTTATAGGTTATACATATTTTAAGAAAAAGAGGATAAATAAGTATACAAGATATGATGTAGGGCGATATGACAGTAGTTTGTTGGATTATGTATTAGTAGATAAAAGACTGTTGAGTAGACTTCAGGATGTACATGTTTATAGAGGGGCCACAGATATATCAGATCACTTTCTAGTTGTAGCTAAGTGAGAGTAAAAGGTAGATGGGATACAAGGAAAATAGTAGCATGAAGCAAGAGAGGTGAAGGTTTATAAACTAAAAGAGGAGGCAGCTAAGGTAAGATATAAACAACTACTGGAGGATAGATGGGCTAGTGAGAGTATAGGCAATGGGGCGGAAGATGTATGGGGTAGGTTTAAAAATGTTATGTTAAAGTGTTCAGCAGAAGTTTGTGGTTACAGGAAAGTGGGTGTGGGAGAGAAAAAGTGCAATTGGTGGAATGATGATGTAAAGAGAGTAGTAAGGGAGAAAAAGTTAGCATATGAGAGGTTTTTACAAAGTAGAAGTAAAGCAAGGAGGGAAGAGTATATGGAGAGAAAAAGAGAGGTTAAGAGAGTGGTGAAGCAATGTAAAAAGAGAGCAAATGAGAGAGTGGGTGAGATGTTATCAACCAATTTTGTTGAAAATAAGAAAAAGTTTTGGAGTGAGATTAACAATTTGAGGAAGCCAAGGGAACAAATGGATTTGTCAGTTAAAAATAGGAGAGGTATCGGGAAGATGGAGGTGATATTTTGAGGAATTGTTAAATGTTGATGAAGATAGGGAAGCTGTGATTTCGTGAATAGGGCAAGGAGGAATAACATCTCGTAGGAGTGAGGAAGAGCCAGTTGTGAGTGTGGGGTAAGTTCGTGAGGCAATGGGTAGAATGAAAGGGGATAAGGCAGCTGGGACTGATGGGATAAAGATAGAAATGTTAAAAGCAAGTGGGAATATAGTTTTGGAGTGGTTGGTGCTATTATTCAATAAATGTATGGAAGAGGGTAAGGTACCTAGGGATTGGCAAAGAGCATGCAAAGTTCCTTTGTATAAAGGCAAAGGAGACAAAAGTGAGAGTGTAAAAATTATAGGGGGATAAGTGTGTTGAGTATACCTGGTAAAGTGTATGGTAGAGTTATAATTAAAAGAATTAAGAGTGAGACGGAGAGTAGGATAGCAGATGAACAAGGAGCCTAAAGGAAAGGTAGAGAGTGTGTAGACCAAGTGTTTACAGAGAAACATATAGGTGAACAGTATTTAGATAAGGCTAAACAGGTTTTTGTGGCATTTATGGATTTGGAAAAGGCGTATGACAGGTTGGATAGAGGGGGCAATGTAGCAGATGCTGCAGGTGTATGGTATAGGAGGTAGGTTACTGAAAGCAGTGAAGAGTTTTTATAGGAGGTAGGTTACTGAAAGCAGTGAAGAGTTTTTACGAGGATAGTGAGGCTCAAGTTAGAGTATGTAGGAAAGAGGGAGATTATTTCCTAGTATAAGAAGGCCTTAGACAAGGATGTGTGATGTCACCGTGGTTGTTAAATATATTTATAGATGGGGTTGTAAGAGAAGTGAATGCGAGGGTCTTGGCAAGAAGCGTGGAGTTAAAAGATAAAAAATATAACACAAATGGTGAGATGCTTTTTTGTTGATGACATTGTGCTCTTGGGAGATTATGAAGAGAAGTTGCAGAGGTTGGTGGATGAATTTAGTAGGGTATGTAAAAGAAGAAAACTGAAAGTGAATATAGGAAAGAGTAAGGTTATGTGGATAGCAAAAAGATTAGTTGACGAAAGATTGGATATCAGAATGGAGGGAGAGAGTATGGAGGAGGTGAATATATTCAGATATTTGGGAGTGGACATGTCTATGAAAGATGAGGTGAATTATAAAACTGATGAGGGTTAAAGGGTGAGTGGTGTACTTAGGAGTCTGTGGAGATAAAGAACTTTGTCCTTGGAAGCAAAGAGGGGAATGTATGAGAGAATAGTTTTATCAACGCTCTTATATGGGTGTGAAGCATGGGTGATGAATGTTGCAGCGAGGAGAAGGCTGGAGGCAGTGGAGATGTCATGTCTGAGAGCAATGTGTGGTGTGAATATAATGCAGAGAATTCGTAGTTTGGAAGTTAGGAGGAGGTGCGGGATTACCAAAACTGTTGTCCAGAGGGCTGAGGAAGGGTTGTTAAGGTGGTTCGGACATGTAGAGAGAATGGAGCGAAACAGAATAACTTCAAGAGTGTATCAGTCTGTAGTGGAAGGAAGGCGGGGTAGGGGTCGGCCTAGGAAAGGTTGGAGGGAGGGGGTAAAGTAGGTTTTGTGTGCGAGGGGCTTGGACTTCCAGCAAGCATTCGTGAGCGTGTTTGATAGGAGTAAATGGAGACAAATGATTTTTAATACTTGACGTGATGTTAGAGTGTGAGCAAAGTAACATTTACGAAGGGATTCATGGAAACCGGCACGCCGGATTTGAGTCCTGGAGATGGGGGTTTAGTGTCTGTACTCTGAAGGAGGCGTGTTAGTGTTGCAGTTTTATAACTGTAGTGGTGTATATATATATATATATATATATATATATATATATATGTATATATATATATATATATATATATATATATATATATATATATATATATATATATATATATATATATATATATATATATATATATAATCAGAAAGTAAGAGAGGGGGTGAAAGTTTACAGACTAAAGGAAGAGGCAATTATAGTACATCAGCAACTATTGGTAGACTGATGGGCTAGTGAGAGTATAGGCAACGAGGCTGTTAGAATGTTCTCGAGATGTTTGTATATACAGTAGACTGTCAATTAAAATGGTTTCCTTTAAAACGTTTTTTCTATTACACTATTGTCAAATTGCGGAGTATTTTCGTTTTACACTTCGTAAAATTCAATTGAAATGGTTTAGCTTCTCGGTAAGGAAAAAAATTGAGCACCGCAAACTGATCGGAATCTTCCTCTCTGTGTAGTTTGCACTTGGTAGTCTGCCTGTGGTTCAAGCCATTGTTTTTTTACGGGTGAGGCCCTAGTTTCCTACTATGCCACCTGCGTACCAGTGCTCGGTATAAACGCGTCCAGTGCGTTATCCAGCATTGTTTGTGAATCACGTTGTGGTCTGTTCATTACCATACATTGCATCTGCCAAGGAACCATGTCACACAGGAGGCATGCAGGAAGGTGCAACACAAATTAAAAAAAATGTTCGATTCTTGGAATTATGACGAAAATCGAGATATTAGATCAGCTTCAATGAGGTTGCTGTGTGGTGGAGATGGCGAGATCTTATGGCCTCAATGAAACGTCGATTCGTATGATTAAAAGTAGTGAAGCAAATATATATGGGCTTGTGCAATGTATAACTCGAGCTGTCGTTTGATTTACTGACTTGACTTACCTACTGACTTGATTGATTTACCGAATAACTTGACTGATTTACTGACTGATTTGCTGACTGACCCGAATTTCTGAATGACTTGGCTGATTCACTGAATAACTGACTTACTAACTGACCTGATTTACTAATCTGACTGATTTACTGAATGAATGACTTGCTGACCTACTGACTTGATTTATTGAATGACACCTGATTTACTGAAATACTGACTGACCTACTGACTTTACTGATTTACTGAC